AATGCTAATTCAATGTGGTTTTAATTTTGATATACTTAGAATTATTCATTTATTTGCAAAGTGACATTCAGTATATCTGGAGATGGTTTCTGTTCTTAATAAACTCTGACACGACAGTAAAAGCTAATGTTAAGGTTCAAGTTTTTAAAGGAAGTACCGTATTTTGTTGACACACTGTCCACTACAGTGATACATGATTGTCTCCAGAGATGGGTTCCAGAGATGACCATCTGATTTTCAGTTCTGCCTCCTCAGCTGCACTTGCTGAGTGGATTCTGGCTTAACTTTCTGTGCTCTACATTTTTCATCTGAAAACTATGAAGCTAATAGTATCTATCACATAGTGTTCTTATGAGGCTATATATGTAGTAGATATATGTAGCAGATATTTGAGTTATTATAGATACTCTAATTTTCTACTAAGAAATATTTGAACATCACACATTTTTATTCAAATTCATCTACAATGGGCTGGGAATGAATTGCTGTCAATATACTTTTGATTTCCAAGGAAATGGTATTAGAAATGAAGTTTTTCTAAATTTTGAAGGAGCATCAATCCTCTATGACCTCGCTAAGCCTCATCCACCAAAGACCCCTCCCTCTATTCATCCTTGGGTCTTCAAATTTGAATTGCTCTTTTATTAAAGTTTTCACATTTTAATATTAAAAATTCACAGAATAGTCTCATTTCATTAATATTAACACATATATTAATTGCCAGAGGAACGAGATACCAAGTTCAAGTATTTCATTAGTATTTCTGAATGTGAAGACTTCTGTCTTAGTTATTGAAGGCTAGGTGCTAATTGTGAATGGTGAAATGCAGGACAAATAAAAAGCTTATACTTTTCATTTTAGTTTATACACATTAGCACAGTCTGTCAGGCACTGTTTTCCCTTTTTTGCTCTCAGATGACGAGGCAGTTTCAAAACACTATGTAACACATAACCTAGAAGCCAAAGACATGTCTGTGTATCAATCTGACATCACAATTTAGGGATGAAGCTAGGTTGAATAAAACTTGTAAAACTGTACTTTAATTGACCATTTATATTAGCTTTATAATTCTTATTTTAAATCATATCTGTACTCACTGGGAAATTCATAATACTTTTTAAAGTTTTATTTGCCATTTGCCATGATGACAGAACTAAGCCTTTTTAAAACAAGCTTAGGGCTGCGCTGGCCTTGCCCTGGGCATGCTGAGCCAGCCACGAGGACCAGGCATGGTGGTGCACGCCTATTATACCAGTGCTAGAAGCTGAAAACAGGAGGATCACTATGAGTCTGAGCTGCATAGTGAGACCCTGTGCCAAATACATTAAAAACCAAACCAAACCAAAACAAAAAAATCCCCCAAACACAAACTGTCCAATGACTTTGTATGAAATTTGGAATTATCGAACAATTACTTCAGCAGTTGCAGAAAGAAATAAGTTATTTTTAAAAATGAAAGATTTTTGTCATTCTTCAGGAAAACAGTTTTGATACCAGAATTTACTACATTGAAAATAAGAGATCTTAAATTGGTGCACTCAAGATTATGTCAAGATTGTGTAGTGAAATCTTTGTATGGAGCTAGTTTCTGAAAAATTGAAAAAGACTTTTGCTGCTATGGGTCAAACGCAGAGTCTGGCAATAGTGAGGCAAGTGCTGTACTAATGATTAAAATCTGTAGCCCCTATACAGGTAGCTTCATTCACCTTTTTTTGTACTGTGTATAAAGCACAAAATTTTTGTGATTAGGGGAGAATTCATACTGATTTGTAAGTTAGTACTTCCTTAGGGGAATTTCATTGAAAAAATAAGCAATTTTAGCATCAGAGATAATCTTCGCTTTCATTAGCAGAATAAGAAGCAGTACTAGCAAGTACAAAGGACCTTGCAACAACTGGTATAAATGATATTTCTGAGAATATACATAGTCACCATCCCAAGCCGGCCTCAAATTTACAGTAATCCTCCTGCCTCAGTCTCCTAAGTGCTAGCATTATAGGGTGTGTCACTGTGCCCAGAAAACCCCAATATTGTCACAGCACCATGCCTAACAACTGTCAGTACACAGTTACTAACAAGAGTAAATAGTGAGGATGAAGTTCACATACACAAATGGAAAGAGTGTAGGCTGATGGAAGATTATTCTAGACCTAAGACAGTGAAAACAAACTTCTAATATCCTGTAGCAAGTGCTGCTGGGTTTTACAAGATATGTCAGGCCAACTGGTGACTGACAAGAAAATATAAAAACAAGCTAAATGGAAGTGCATTATCTCTATCAGCAGGCGAGAGCTTGGGACCAACAGCTTGTTTCAGGGAAGGCACAAATCTTGTCTTGCTACTTTGCCCCCTGAGTTCCAGCAAAGTAAAAGCATCATATAATGGGTAATTTAAGCCAGAGACATCCCAGGTGCAAACTGACCCACATCTCTTTGTACATGGTATATTACTTTGACATTAATTTTCTTAAGTTTACATTGCCTTTTCTCAGCAGTGGAGATGAATAAAAGCTTGGTGCCAAGCTAGATACAGAAGGGACAAATACACAGCATGCAGGTCAAGGACCGTTCCCTAAGAAAAGAGATGATGTCTTTATAGAATACTCCACTACTTTTTGTGAGATACAGTTGCGTGCCATGTAATCTACATAAAAGGCCATAAGATAAGTCCACTTGAAATACACAACTGTTTAAAAAATAAGGGCTATTTTTCCCCTAAGAGATACTTGTGAAGATATAAAGAAAGAAGTAGACTCAAATTTCTAGCTACAAACTGAAATCACTCCTCTTTCTTTAAGGTGCAGTTAAATTTTAAACACCGCTAGTCTCCTAGTACCTGAACTAAGATCTACAAAACTCGAACAACATCAGCAGTATAGAATACAGGGGTCAGTATGTTAATAGAGTCAACAAAGTAAATGACTCTCAGGAAGGAAATTCAAAACTCCCCAGTTCCACCTACTTCTTTGTGCTCTATTAAAATGCCCTCTCATGTGTCTTGGCATATGATTTTTGCAAGATATAAAAAGTGTGAATTTCCCTCACAATCTTTTACTGCAAGGGAGGCTGCATTATAAAAGAAAGCTTCTTCCCACTTGCTAAGTTGATATAAGATAAAGAGTACATCAAGAAAAGAAAACCAGTGGATCTGTGGACTGTTTTTTATTTTGTATTTTTTGGTATTGGGGATCAAACTTAGGATTTTGTGCTTGCCAGGCAGGCACTTAAGTCACTCAGCTAATCTCCCTGACTCTGTGGAACTGTTTTATACTGGAAAATACAGTGGAAGAATTTCATAATACCATCTTTTTTGATTTCTTTACAGCTGAGCCCAAGGGCCCTAACATTTAAAAGAAAAATTATGTTGATAATCAAGTAAAGAGGCCATCCAACTCAGTATCTTTCATTTGCTACAGGCATGAAATGCAGAAATACATAAACAAAAGTCTGATTGCCAAACATTGAAAATGGACAGTGAAAGAGGGAGATAATTTTAAATTGTGTTATTTATTTATTTATTTATTTATTTGCATTTTAGGGAAAGGTGTTCAGGGTCTCATTACTGGTAGTGATCCGCCTGTTCACAGCCTCCCAAGAGCTGGGATTACAGGTGTGCTCCACCACGCCTAGTCTCAATTGCCATCTCAGAGCGCCCCAGGGGCAGGACCAGCACAGCAGGTCTGGGGATTGAATCCCCGGCTCCTGTGTCTGCTTGCAGGGCTTTAATCCACTGAGCTATTTGGCCAGCCCTTAAATTGTGCAATTTAAAGTTACTAAAAGGAATTCTTACTTTAAAAATTCAGAGTCAGGACCAGAGTGAGTTAACAGGTACTTGGGGAGTAAAATTCAAAAACATGTACAGTCCTGAGAGTGACTCTCTTAGTCTTTCCCTTAATGGAGACAATTATCTAAGAAAAGTAGAATGAACCAGAAAATCTTTCATCATCAACAAATCAAATCAGTACCGTAACCGCTAAGGTCTCTGAAGAGGATGACAAGATCATATTTATAGTGGGTAGAAGCAAGAAAGAAAAACATGGATGGATTCATAAATTTGAACAAAAATAATACATCCTTCTTTGCCTATTCAGTTATGCATTGGGCTCTTACTTGTACGACATTGTTTCTGAAAATTCATAAGCCATCTAGTTAATTTCTTCTTTATCCATCAAGAGGTCCCACTGTTGTTAAATAGGTTTAGCTCTGAACAACATATTTAGAGTATTATGGCTGCTTTTAAGGTTAGTTGTTGGTTTTGGTTTACATACATGCATACCTATATTTGAAACAGCACAACTGATAATAGTTATAGTTTGGAAGCAGCCTATATGTCCATCAACAGATGATTGGACAAATACAATGTAGCAGTCATATGTAATGGAATATTATTCAGCCATAATGAAAGGTAAAGTTGGGTCATTTGTAAGAAAATGGATACACCTTGGAACCATAATGCTACATGACATAAACCAGATGCATAAGGTTAAATATTGTGTGGTTTTTTTAATTTAAGGAACTTAAAGTCATAAATAATTGAAAGAGCAAAATAAAAGGTAGATGATAGGAAAAAGGGAGATAGACTCTGTAGAGATGGGAAGGGGATGTGGCGATGAGGGGAGACGGGAGGGAGCAAGGGAGAAAAAAGGAGCAAGATGCAACGTTTATATGCATAAGTTACAGGATGAATGCATTTATTATGTATTGCAAACAGATACTAATAAACAAACTATCCAGAGGGGGGGAAAAAGAGATTCACAACTACTTTCTTTTTTCACTTTACTTCCAGGGGAATTTTTTTTAATAGTTATGGAACAACAGAGATTTTAGAATATTTCTTTGTTTTACTATTTTAAAGTTCTTTCCCAAGTGGTTAGTGTCAAAAAACTGGAAAATATCAGTTTAAAAAAGCAGTAATCTGACAATTGAATCACCAAGCTGCAATTTCTTTAATGTCAGTTCTCTCCTGCAACTTCAGTAAACCAGTTGGAATATAAACTTACGTTAATGCTTCTGAGTAATTGTAGTGAGGGGATACTCCGAGAAACTTCTGGACATCGTCCATGACTGTGGCTGGATCAGTTCTTAGCTGCTGCCCATCAATAATCAGCAACTAGATTACCAAAGGAATAATAATAACAAATAATAATAATAATGATAATAGTACATAGTGAGAGAGGACATGTCAAATCTATAGTGAAAAATTTTGACTCTGAACTTATTCAGAGACAGTCGCTGAAGGGATTTGCATGCATTATTGACAGACACAATCACGTCATCTTTGTTAATGACACAGAACAAAAAATAAATCATAGCAATTAAGTACATCCATGTTTTATAATCTGAGAAGCTCTGCAAACACCATGAAATCAAAGCCAGTTGTAGGAAGCAAGAGAGCTTAGACATGTGACTATGAAAGCACAGATTGCAAAACAATCTGTAAGCCAGGTTGCAAAACAAACAGCAATGACTGCCCGGATCATGTTGGGAAGGAACACTTCGGAAATAAGTCTAGGCGTAGTGACACAGAAGACCTGCTATTCTCCCCAACTCCATTCAAGAGTAGCACTGTACAGTTCAAATAAATACTTTTATAATTCATATTGAGAAGAAGATAAGATTGTAAGAACCCAAAGATGGACAGAAGTTCCTCAAGAAGCTAAAGGGAAAGGATTTATTAATCTGGTCAGAGTAGACAAGTAGACAAAACAGCAATAGTTAATGACAGAAGGCTACAAAGCCTGTAAATGCAACTGTTTCCCAAACCTCTCTTTTGTGTTTTCAGTTAGTCTAGACCAGCATTGTTCAGTCAAATATGTAGCTATTGGACACCTGAAATGTGCCTAAAGCAATCAAAGAACTAAATTTTTAATTTTACTTAATTTTAATGTAAACTTAATTAGCCATATTTTAGCAACTATCACACCGAACAATATGGCTTACATACACAAATTCACACTACATCTGGATGTTTTTGTTCTTTCTTTCTTTCTTTCTTTCTTTCTTTCTTTCTTTCTTTCTTTCTTTCTTTCTTTCTTTCTTTCATTTTTGGTACTGGGAATCAAACTCACAACCTCAAGCTTGTCAGGCAGGCATTGTGCTACTGAATTCTAGCCCTGGCTACATCTGGATTTTTATGCAATCCAATGTGAAAGCTGGTTTTATAAATTGATGATAAGCTAAAGGAATAAAAAGAAATCTGAAGAAAATGCAGGACTTACCGAAAATTTATTAAGGTAGTTTGGAAAGGAAATAGTGGCACTTAATTAAGCAAAACAATATTTGTCTTGTTTGGTAAAGAGGCTTCCTTTCAAGTGTTATTCATGTTTGAGTATAAATCTGAAGTTTTTGAAAGCCTCTGAAGATCAGGAAACTATCTTGAAATACTCTTAGAAAATTAAACTTTCTCTGCCTCTGCTGGTTTTTCTTTCCTGCAGTTTCATTATGTATAATGAATAGGTAAAAGCTAGTAATGTTTTAGTGAGTAAAAATTTCCTCTATCCTGGAGGCAAAAATCATTAACTTAATGAGATTGTTACAGGATATACATTTTTATTGCTTCATACCTGAAAGGGAGGGAAATAAACAAGCCATCTCTCTATGTGACTGGCATACCATCCAGGAACCAAACATCTCTTCTGCAAGGTTCTGAGTTCTGAGGGCGCATGGGGCCCAGCGGAGATGACTTCATAGAAACTGAACTTCAAAGCTGCAGGGTCTTCATGAAATCGCTGATGCTATAATGAAAAGGTGGATAATTAATCTAACCTGAACCATAGGCATAAATAATTAAAAACCAATCTTTGTGACAAGTCTTGAAGCTAAAGTAAAAAGTGCTTCACTGCTGGAGAGTTATTTGTTTTGAAATTAATAAAGTATGAAAATGTTTGCTTGGAGCATCAAAATTTAAAGTTATGACACTGATGAGAATATATATTTTGAGAATTTATTTGGTAGAGGCTACATTCTTATTAGGATTCCTTAACCAACTTTACTGAGTTGCTTCCTTGGTGTATATATTTTATTACGAAAGTAAACTTTTAAAAGTTCCCTTAATGTCCTCTTTTCAGCCCCAAAGCAAGTCATTTATCATGCTCATTGAATACCCATAATACAAAAGCACTCTACTAGTTCTGCCAAATAGGTTTGTTCTACCTAGTAATGTAGTTTTAGATTCAAAAAGCTCTATTGGCTATTTCAAATAGAGGAACTACTGAAAACTCTGACATGCACATTATCTGAAAGCCACAGCTTTTATCATATGTTATCTAGCATCTAAAACCCAAGATTACTGTATCTAACGGTAACCTTTGTGTTGGATCAGAATCATTCATTGTGCAGAAAATGAAGAAAGCAGCGATCCAAAAATGAAAGTGTTTCCTAATGGCTCAGGCTCATGCTCAGGCCCACGGTTTTGAGAAAATCACCTTTTCCTTAAATTGACCAATAAATATTTAGGTTTAGTGGTGAGTTTGTGGCTGTTTACCACATCTAGTTGAATAGCAAATTTGTTGCAATTGGGATTCAAATTAACTACAGGACAAACTCCTAGACTTTGTTAAGGCCTGCATTTTGCCACTGTGGAGTGATTTATTTGCAATATTTAGGATGTTTTGTTAGCTTGCAGCCTTGAAGCTTCCTTTTTTTCTATAAATTCTCAATTTTTCAAGGGCTAAGTGGTTGTCAAGCTCCAATTTTCTTCTTTCTTTTGAGTCAATTAGGGCTTATTTTTCTGTTCTCTAGATACCTGGGAAAGGTAAAAGGTGCGAAATCAAATTTGTGAATTTGCAGTGTACTCTATTTTTATTTAAAAGATGGCTCTGCGTGTGACACAAATGAGCAGTGTGGAGTTGAGGATTCCCATGGCACTTAGCTTACCAGGATATTTCTACTGCTATTATGCAGATTGTTATCCGTATGCTTATCTACGCTTTCGAAGACTTTGTATGATATTTTCCCACACTGTCCCTGCCACAAAAACCTTTTCTGACAATGCTTTTACACTGTGAACCTGAAAAACGGCTTTTGATAAATAACAAAAGGGGCTTGGTGCTATGAAAAAGTGTATTTTCTGCTGTCATAATTGTTGAGTACTTAGTTGTTTGAATCCTGGAGCTCCTGAGCTATTCATGTCACTTGGAATACAGACAATTAGCTTCAGATCCAACCCACTTGCAGAGCTCCTGATAAGCAGACTCTGAATACACATGGTTTCTCCATTCATCTGAACTTCCCAATTTCCAAGGAAATAAGAACTTCAGTCTGCTTTTCAGGCCTGACCTGTTGACAAACCTTTTACCCATAGCACTGATTTGCATGTACCAAAACATTCCTTTATTTTACTTTTATCTCTTTCTCCTTTTACAAATTCCATCCTTTCCTTAGGAAGAGCATAGTGTTCTTTTGACATTCAGACTTCTCTATAGCAGCCATTTAACAAATCTAACATCCCAGGAACACAGTCTTGTTTATTCATTACATACTAGTTTCTCTGCTTTCAAAATATGATGGAAGAATTTATAACCTGAGAAAACAGAAAATTTCCTATTTATCCCTATTTAGAACTCTGTATTAGTCGAAAGGTATTAATTTTAAGATGCTATAACATTTACTTTTTAAATGGGGATGCAAATAAACATATACAAAATATTTTGCTTCTTATGTTTTATTACATTAATTTATTTTATTAAATGAATGGGTTAAATTAATAAAACATTAAAAGCAAAGGAGAAAGTTGTTTTCTTCAAGGAAACAAAGAAATATTTATCTACCTTTCCATAACTATCGAATAATTAGAAAATCTCTTTTGCTAAACTTGAGAGAGTGAGTATTGCTAAAGAACACCCTTCACTGTCCACACTCCTGTCTCCCTGTTGGATTCTATCTTTTCTTACCTGATACCAGGAATATGCTCGGTCTGATGGGTCAATGAGGATGGTGATGATCTTGGCTTTGGGGACGAGGGAAGCAGCTCTTTTAGGAGCATCCTCTGAGTGGAAGTAATTTGCACTCTTCTCAAACAGAAAGTCAGTGGTGACGTTAGATGGAACTGGAAAAAAATCCATATACCTAGAAAAGGAACATTTTTCTCAAAATAAGATCCTGGTTTACCCTAATTTCCTGGTGACCAAAGATGCCCCACGCATTAGTTTCCTAAACAAAATCTTTATGCTGTAAGGCATTTGTCCTCCACAGTTCGCAGAGGAGCCCGGCTGATGGCGCATGCCTGTAATATCAGCACTTGCGAAGCTGAGGCCAAAGCGTTGCCATGAGGTCAAGGCCAGCCTCAGCTGCATACTGAGTTCAAGGCAGGCCTAAACTGTATAGCAAGACACTGTCTCGAAAAAACAACAACAACAAAAGAAACATAATTAGCAAAGGAAACATGTTCAGTGCACTAAAATAATGTTTTGAAAATATACTGATTATATTTTGTTTTGCTTATTATTAGATAAAAAGAACTGAGATAACAAAAAAGTAGACAAAATGATCAACCTTACTATATAAAGTACATATAAATGTAGAAAAACTGTACAGAGAAAAATACAAGTACCCAAACAAAAGGAAAGTTTGATCAAAACAGATAATGCATCCAGTGGAAAGATAATTTAAAAGGATTCATGCAAAGCTTTTTTACTTTATCACAGTAAAATAACTTCACTACTACTAGCGTGTTGTACATTTACATTTAATCATATGTTGTCAAAACATTGCTATTGAATATCTACGCAGATGTTCACTTTTTGCTTAATTTTTTTTCAAATAAGCCATTTATGTCTGTTTTTAGAACAATTATGAGAAAAGTTTTAAAAGTATATACATATTTACACATAGGAAATCCTATCAAAATCCTCATGGTTAGTGTTGTGAGAATTCAAGTCATGATCAGCATAGAAATATGGATGCCTGAAGACCCTAGCACTGTTTTGTACACCACCAGAATACTTCTCAAATATAATTAAATCAGCATATGATAATACATATTTCTGAAGCACTAAGGGAAACCTTTTAGAGGAAAAGGGAGTTTTAAGAGACATTCTGAAAACTTAATTGCTAGAGGTTCTTACAATTATCATCTCACTATCCAATGCCCCTTCCATCATAACCTACCATGACTTTGGACAATGAAGGTGAGGTGGTTCAACAATTACCGAGTAGCAATCCTTAGCACCCATACACGGACATCTCCTGTAATGTGTTGTTTCCTTTGATTTAGAAATGTGACACTTTAATAGGCTTTAGACCATGAAATTATGTCATTTCATTTAATAAAGGTTCTGTTACAATTTCCAGCTGTTAATGCATTGCAAAATTTAATGGGTATAACAAAGTAATTTTTTTTTTTGGGGGTACTGGAAATCAAACAAAGCAACATCTTGAGCCTCTGAGCAGTTAAGAAATCCTTTATGTCTTCTGAGAGTTGAATTGCTAGTGAAGGTCATTCTGGCATCCTCTTACAAACAGATACACAAAAAATTTGGGGATAGTTTGATCTGTTAGCTCTTCTGCTGTACATTCTATTTACAGGCAGCACCATGGTTCAGGCTGTTTCTTATTTAGAAGCTCATACTGATTACAGGAGTGCTAAGGTTATCACTAGTACCTCGTAATCCTATTTGATTGGAACTTTTCTCAGGTTTTCTTATTGAGAAGGCTCCAAAAATCACACAGACAGACACATGTGTGGAATTAGGTAACTTGTAGCTTCTAAAGTGGTTCAGCATTGTCTGAGGTGTTTATAGAACAGTTTAGGCTTCAAAACTCTCCTTAAATTGTCCTGGATGGTTCACCTAAACTGTGTTGATCTTGCTTGGCTTTAGTGGCTCACAGAAAGGCAGGATTCAGCTCTTGCTGATATGTTCACATTTTTGTAGTATAGGAGCTGGTACTTACAGGGACTTACTTGAGAAATATTTTCTCAATAAACAAGTAAGATATATATATATATATATATATATATATATATATATATATATATATTCTGGTAATATTTCTTGGAATGAGGTACAGAAGTTTCCCAAGTAGGCTCTCTCTTGGTGAATATGTATTCAAGTTATCCAAAATACTGGCAGCCATGCTAGAGCAGGTTATGTATCTGGAGGCAAGTTATTTCCCCTAAGGTTTGTTACTTTATTATTACTATTATTATTATTTAATCTATTATTTCTTTATTTGGTACAGGGTCTCACTACAAAGCTTGGACTTGTAGTGATCCTCCTGTCTTAGCTTCCCCAGTGCTGGGATTACAGGAGTGCACTGGTTTCAGAAGCCAGCACAGTACTGGGGATGGAACCCAGGTCCTTGCTCTTGCCCGGTAGATGCTTAGACCTCAGAACTACCTCCCTAGCCCATACTTTGTTATTTTAATGAATCATAACATCACCATTTTTCACTTGAAAGATGTGGTTTTTGCAATACTCTGTATTTTCTTGCTATTTGTATTGATATTGAGTATTTTAACTGATTTAACTGAAAGCCAGATTACTACTTTGAGTTTCTAAATGCTAACAAGATCCTATGGCTTTCTACATACCACTCCAATGCTCCACTGCATCCCCATGTAATAAAATTTGCAGTACTAAAGCATGAAACCTAAATCTTCCATGTATAAATCAAAACTTTTTCTGAGCTCCTCTGGTGGCATATCTTCAATATTTTTTTCAAAGATGAAGACTTTTTTTTTTTTGTGTGTGTGTTTTAGGCAAGGGTCTACAGGGTGTTCAGGGTCTCACTACTAGATTGGACTCTAGTGATCCACCTGTTTATAGCTTCCCAATTGCTGGGAGCCACCACGCCCAGTCTCAATTGCTGTCTCAACATGCCCTGGGGACAGGGCTGGCACAGCAGGCCCGGGATCAAACCCCCGGCCCCTGTGCCTGCTTGCAGGTGCTTTAATACACTGAGCTATTTGGCCAGCCCTCCAAAGATGAAGATTTCTAATTTTTATTTTTTCTCCTTTGCTTGTAACTTACGCCTTTTGTCAGCTAAGGCAGCCTAGTTTCATACAGTTTTCAAGGAAATAAAAAATCAGATCCATTCATCTCACTTAAGTAATTGTGCCTAAATTAATTTTTTAAATGATCTAGGAATTACCTTTAAAATGAATTATTTTAAATGCAGTCTTTAACTTTTGAAGCCGGGCACGTCGTAGTTTTTTGTTTGTTTTGTTTTGCGGAACCGGGAATTGAACTCAGGCCAGGGGCCCTTGGGCTTGCCAGGCAAGCGTTTATTCTATTGATCCATCTTCCCGGCCCCAGTCTTTAACTTTTGGAAGCATGACCCAAAAAGACAGCTGAAGGACTGTTTCAGACAGAGGTTAGGCCAATCTGAGGACAATGATTATAGTTGATACTATCAAGAGGAAAGCTCTAATTACTATTGTAAATTGACATGTGCAGTTATAATTATTTATTTACATTAATTGCCCTTTTTTTTTTGTACCAGGAATTGAACTCAGGACCTTGTGCTTGCCAAACAGGCACTTAAGCCTCTGAACTATTTCCCCTGGCCCTCATTGCCTTTTATATATGTATATTTTGTCAATCAAAAATGTTTGTATTTGTGGTAATTTTAGTGAGTTATTATTAAATTCTTTCATGCTCTTTCGATTTCTAATTATTTATGTCATCTCCTTGTAAGAGACTTTTTGTTCTTATTACAGTGCCTTACGTATTCCTGGTTTCTGATCAAAAAGGTTTTATTTGGTATAATTTATGACAAGAATAATTATTCCTTCACTTATTTTGAAGTTCTAGGGACTCAAATATTGCACTCGCTGCTACATCCAAATAGTCTTCAATCTCCCCTTTCAGTCCTGGTGTTAACAGTCCATCCTACTCCATAGCAGCACATATATGTGAGTCAGTGGTCAAGTAGCAGCTGAAATAGTTGATGGCTTCTGCATTTTCCTTGCTGTTATTTAGTACTTCACAATTCATATCAAGTAGCATACAGAAGAATTAGCAGTGAATGATGTAATAATTAGAATAACAGTAAGAATGTATGCTGATGCTGATCTTGTGGATGCAGAAATCATACTCCATCTATTTCATTTCTCTTCCATGTAGACAACCAACAAGTCACTCTTCAAGTGGTTGGTAATTATAAAATGCAGACCATGCAATCTGATGACAGGTTATACATGACTTTTCATTCTACAGTAATTGCAAAATATTTATGCTTATGCTCTAGAATTATTATAAGAATCTCACTCTTTTAGAACACCTTCTGTCCAGCATTATACCTTAATAAGACTTTTAGATACATTTTATTATTAACATGTCACTTTATATTATTAATTTCTATTATATTACTGTAGTTGGATATATATTAACATTTTTGCTGAACTATTTCATTCAGATGCTTAATATATTTCAATTTTTAATTCAAAGGTAAATATTAAAGTTTGTATATTTTGATAATTTTTTTTAACAGCTTTCATTTCTCATGAAATAAATGTACATTTCTTCTTCCAGGACATTTTTTGCCTTTTTTACCTTGCAAGACAGAAAATTATATATGGAGACCATAGCATCACCTAATGAAAAGTGTACAAGAGGAAGATATGACGGTGTTTTCTTATGAATAGAGAAGAATGAAATTTCTGGGTGCTATTTCTCTGAGTTCACATCTTTAATTACCATCAAAGATAATCGATGTCAACTGAAGTTACACATGGACTGAGGTAACAAGTCCCTGCATGGTCAAGGGTGTGGATGTATGTATGAATGTATGTCTAAAATTGGACTCTTGAATATATGAGTAAGTTCTGGGCTTTTTTATTTCATTTCCAAGGTAAAAGGGTAGCTTTTAGTCGTGTCTACAAACTTATCTATTTCTCAGTATTAGCACTCAGTTTATACTGTGCACAATGCATATACTTTTAGATTTATACTAATAACCCATCTTACCAATCAATCCCCCTGTGGTAGTTATTTCTATTAAAGAACTGTACCTCCTCAAAGGTTTTTGGGCTGGGGGAGTTACTAAGGATGGAAGGATGCATAACCAGGAACAAATACAAAGCAGTGGTACCTGAAAGACAATACAGTTTGAAATTAATAAAATGGAAAGATAGTTTCCCACCATTAACACTTCAAAGTAATTAATAAGTTAATAAATTCAACTTGAAAACTATCTAAGGAAGTTCATTAGAAGTACTCCTTGATTGAAACTGAATAAAATCAGACACCTAAAATGTTTTCTGAAATTTTTTTTTTTTTTTTTTCGCTTTCTGAAAATTGAGACAGGCTGTGTGAGAAGGGGTTTGCCTGGGATTGGGAGAAGGCGCTTTTGATCTTAGCTCGCTCTCTGATTTGTCTGTGACTTTGGCTTTTAGCTACTTTTTGTCTCAGTTTCCTTAACTGCTTATTTCATAGGTTTTTCTCTTTAGATGAAAAGACAATGTACCTAAACACATTATGATATTAATAAAATACAATACAAATGAACTATATCATTTCTAATATGTCATATTACCAAACTTAAATATTGGGCTTTTCAATAAAGTTCTTTCTGAGGCTTATGAAAGCTAATTAAACTCAAGACAGAATGCAGTATTTTAAGACATTTGCCTAAAGTTGAGAATACTTACATACTTATAAAAATTAGTGTGAAATTATTTAAATTGCTAAAATTTTTTTTCTTTTTTTTTTTCCTGTATTTTAGGGAAGGGTCTGCAGGGTGTTCAGGGTCTCACTACTAGATTGGACTCTAGTGATTCTCCTGTGTTCAGCCTCCCAAGTGCTCGGATTACAGGCACGTGCCACGCCCAGTTCCAATCGCCATCTCAGCACGCCCCGGGAGCGGGGCCGGCATGGCAGGCCTGGGGATTGAATGCCCAGCCCCTAAGTCTGCTTGCAGGTGCTCTAATCCATTGAGCAATTTGGCCGGCCCTAAATTGCTAAAATTGAAGAAAAGTAGTGTCTTTTCTCTGTGACATAGCTTACAAAATTAGTCTTTTAATTAGAAAGACAGTGGCATATCACTTGTGGATTTATAACTACTAAGGATAAGAAATGCAAATTACAAATGGGAGTGTAATAAGCTATAAAATTAAACTTTTTGCCCTTAATTAGGAGATAAAGTGTGACATGTGGAAGAAAATTAGTTACATTGCGTTCAGAATGTTTAAGATTTAACCATGTACTTGAAACTGTGACTATATATATAAAATCATACCATAAAAGTGTTTCCACTGTATGTGTTCAGCACTCCTACTTCCATGTCCCCACTCTGATGTGCCTTGCCTACCAGAGTATCAGATGGAGCAAGCTGTTTATGGTAACCCAGGTTGACAGACAGCAAGAGAAATCCAATGTGGCATTGCAATATTTCTCATACTTGAAAGAATTATTGTTCTAACTTTGCTTAGTAACAATGTCCTGTTGCAATTTGCATGAAATTTTGAATTTTCTTATCTCTCTGATAAGCTTTCTCTAATATTGCTCCTTAAATCTACTGTTTCTATTTAATAGAAAAAAATTGAAAGTAGCTATCAACAGCATTTTTTTTTTTTAAAGTGAATCAAAAGAGATAGTATTTCTAGGATGTATCTGAGCAAAATGATGAGCACTTATCCACAAGCATAGATAAACTGTAGGGACTGAAAACATAGTACTCTATGATACATAAAAAAAAAAAAAAATTATTCACAAGCTTGACTTAGAAGAACGATGCTCCAATTTTAACATGTGTCGCATTCACTTAGAAGGCTTGTTCAAACACAGGTAGCTGAGCCCGGGCCCAGAATTTCTGATTCAGCACATCTATGGAGTGGTTCAAGAAACTGTGCTCCTAAAACGTTCTCCTGTGGTGGTGATGCTCTTGGTCTGATGACTGACTTTTGAAAATCAACAAATTAAAATAAAAGTGAAAAAATACCTAAAATTTGTTTGTTAATTTTTCCATTACTTAAAGTCCACCACTAAGGTTAAAAAGAACTTGCTTTTTTGAGTCAGGTATGTCTTAAGGTCAAGAGTTTCATTTCCAGTACTTACCAGCTATGTGAACTTGAATAAAAATGATCTAACTCTGAGAATTAGTTTTCTCATCTGACTACTGGGAAGAAAAATACTTAGCTATCTGAGTTTTGATAAGAGTTAAGTGAGACAATATACCTGGAAGTACTAGTACCATATCTACATATTTGCAAAATGCTTTTAAAAATAACATAATGAGATTTAATTTATAATTATAATGAAGAACTATGTTAAGTACATTTATATTCCACTTATGTAATTGCGATACAATAGAGAAAAATAAGGTCTTTTATGTAAACAAGAAAAACAAATATTTGTGATCATATATACCATATATTTCTTTACTGAGATTTAATTTTAACAACTATATTAAGCATTTTTTAATAATGTGTTTAAGACAAACATAGAAAATAGATATTATCTATTAATTTGAATAGTTAGTAAGAGGCATAATGTAATTTACTGTTGGTCAAAAAATAAAATTGTGATTTCTGAGTTCTACCTTTATGGATAATAATCTGTCCTGGTAAGTCAACTATATAATAAGACAAACATAGTTAAATAAACATCAATAAGAATTCAGATTTTATGTTTTTTTCTCATTTTCAATACTGAAAAATATTTTAATATCTTGATAACTAAAAATCTAAGCAAAATTATCCCAGAAAATACTTTGGACTAAAGATAAACATAAACGATTTCATTTTCATGGAACTGGTATGACAAGATATTTTTGTCTAATTAAAAATAAGACTCATAAAATATTGTAATTACAACATGGGTGGATTTCAACAATATCACGGAAAATGAAAAACATTAAAGACTGCACAGTGGGCCAGGAGACAGCTCAGTGGACCAAACGCCTGCTTAGGCAAGCACAGGGCCTGGGGTTAAATTTCCAACACCACATGCCACACTAGCCCCACCCTAGGCACACTGAGCCAGCCACTGAGACCAGGTGTGGTGATGTAAGCCTGTAATCCCAGAACTGGGGAGGCTGAAAACAGAGGATCACCATGAATCTGAGGTGTGAAGTGAGACCCATGATAAATAAATAAATAAATATAATAAAACAATACAGAATGTCCTCTTCTGTTTACATGAACACCTAGGAAAGGTAAAACCACACTGTGGTTATGGATGTGGCAGGGACTGGAAATTTGACTGCAAAAAGACAAAGAAATTTTTTGGATACAATTGTCCTAAGTTTTGAGTGCAGTGGTAGTTACCTGACTATGGTATAATTTCCAAAATTCATTAAGTCATACATTTAAAATGGGTGAATTTTATTACATGTAAATAATACTTCAGTAAAACTTGGAAAGTAAATTTCTATAAAAAGAAGCATTTTCTCTTACTTTTTCTAAAGGGAAGTATCATATCCAAATAGTAACACAAACAGTGGAAACTGTTGAGTTTAGGATGACAAGGAATAATTCTATCATCTACCCATGATAGTAAAATGTCTGTATACCCAGCACAGCAGGAGACCAAGCAGAGCCTGCCAGGCTTTCTGAAGTCGACTTGGTATGCCCAGCAGCACAGAGATGTGATCAGTAATGACAGGGTTACATGATGACAGGGGAGTTCACTGAAGAGACTTCAGCTTCAATGTTTTCCTGGTTGTCTTTTGACTTTAGATAGGTAAGGACAAGTGAAATAAATAAGGACAAGAACAGTATTTGTCACACTTATTATTATTTTCAGGTTGATATTTACAAATCAGACTAAGAAGAAATGAATAGGGAAGGATCTGTGTACCTTGCGTAGAAGTCACCTAGTTATTTCCAGGAGATGAGGAAAGGAAATATATTCTCCTTAGCAAGCAATATAGTTGAAATGGCTGTTTGCTCTGAAGCCAGAATCACAGGGTCCAGAATAATTTATCAAGCAGGATACAGCTTGAATGTCTTCCATGGGGCTTCATTTTAATGTTGGTTCTCACAGAAACAAGAAGTTTATGGGGAAAAAATTGCACACCAATTTAAGAAAAGGTGCAACAGCTTTCTCCTGGGTATGAATAAAGATCTTTCTTAGCACAAAGTTTTGTTTATGTCAAGGAATTCTGCTTGTCAAATATCTTTTAGACTCTTAAAAAATACTTAGCTCTGCAAGAAATAGTTTACAAGTCAACTATATCAGGAAGATGGCAGGGTTAAGAGCCTTTTTCTGAAAGGGATTTATTATGAAGAGTTCTATGCACTTATATGGATGCTTCTTGACTTTTGAGAAAAACCTGTCAGTTTCTAAACATGCAACTAGTCTTGCTTTTAGAAGTGTTAAAATGCTTTTCAAGTAGGCTTTTGGAAAAAATAAAATGTGCCACCAAGTTGTATATTCAAACTCTGTGACATCAATTTCATGATTTTCATTTTCTTTTATAAAAAAAAAAGCCACAACATTTTGGGCCTGGGGAGATAGCTCAGTAGAATAAGTGCTTGCCTGGCAAGTGCAGGGTTCTGAGTTCAATCCCTGGTACCGCAAAAACAAACAAACAAACAAACAAACAAACAAACACACACACAAAAAACCCCTTTGACAAAGCAATTAAAAAAAGCAATTTATTTATAGAGTATTCATTATAGCTTTATGGGAAATTTAAGAACTCACTGTGACAAGAACTCACTGTCTAGTCATTGGTAGTTTTATGCTGTTTGCTTTGTCATAACATTAGAAGTTCTCACCAGTTTTCTGGGGTCCTATTACCAAGAATTTTGGTAAGCGATCACAGGTTTTTTCTTTAGACCAAATGTCTCTGTGGCGTTTGTCATCACATGGATTCTAAAAATTGGAGAAGAATACAGAGATGTAATTTTTGTGACTGTGTCCATTCCATGCTAGCATTTTCAACGTTTGTCCTTATAAGATATCCCAGGAAACAATGAGACAAAACAATGTTCTTTAAAAAAAATTGAAATCCCTGCAGTAGCATCATGGAGGAGGTGGGGGAGAGGAGCTATTTCTACTCTGGGCAAATAGCCTCATAGTAGTGAGAGCTTAATATTTTTCTGTTACTGGCAGTTTTGTTTTAACATTTTTTAATAGTGAGCTTGCTGAGTAGAGATATACTTCCTGCTAACCTAATACTCTAAAAATTTAATAAATAATTGAAGTACAGGGCATCAGAGATTTTTTTCTAAGTAACTTTGAACTTTCCTGCTGTGCTTCAGAGGGCTAGGGATCCAACCACATCAATGCCATTTAAAGAAAGCTCATTCCTTTCAGCAGCCTTTAAAGGTCATAAATGTAATCACAAAATGTACATTAAAGACTGGTGCTAGAAAGTACTAAATTTAAGCAAAAGAGTAAAATGAATTACTACTTTAGGTATTCTGCTTTTGCTCTATAATGCCTCAAACCAACAACCACTGTGCATGAAATATCTAGAAAACCATTCATTTAAAATACAAAGTAGATAGTATATAGAAAAGTGAAAAGAATTGTCATTCTCTCTAATACTATTTGAGGAATGGGCATAGAGGACTCATTTCCAAAATTTATTTCTATTCAACTAATACTGTAGTATGTGTAGTTAAATAAACTGCTTATTTTTAGTTAGGAGTAAAGTGAAGTTAATCTTCTAGCTGCTTTTCCAGAAAAAATTGTTTTAACCTAATCACTTGAAATAACAATGATTTCACTTAAAAAGTACAGCGCTAAATTAGCAGAAAGCTTGCATGCCTTTCCAGTCACTAACAGTGGGCGGTGCTCAGGAGGCTTGGTGCAGCTGCAAAGGATATTGTGCCATGCCTTGCAGCCCCTGCGGCACCCTGCTAAATGCACTGCTGTGTCACTTCTTGGGAGCTTCTGTTTGTCCCTAGGGTAATTAGCTCACAGTTCAATGATTAATGGATTGAACATGGAGTTCAAACTTGATCGCAACTTCCATTTGTGAAATTTATTGCATTTTATTTCTAAATATTGTTACTGTTTTACCACTTAGAACAGTGATTAAGAACACAGCCTTTCAGAGCCAGGCAGCCTGGAACTGGCTCCTGCTCTGCCAGAGCAGCTGTGTGACCTTGCTTAAGTAACACGGATTTTCTGTGCCTTAGGACTTTCATCTGTAAAATGAGAATAATAACTGTACCTACCACAGAGGGTATTTGTGACAATTAATCAAGTTAACAAATGCAAAGTGCTTAATGTGATATATGTAATTATTTGCTCAATTTATCTGCATATATCAAGTGAGCAATTTTAGTTTAGTTTCCACAATTGTATACTACCTAAGAGTCTATACTTTGAAATGTAGGTTTTCCCTGAAATGGCTGGAATATGCTGTATTAATGTGATATTTTCTTTTTAGAGCCTCAATGACTTCTCCATAAACAATTTCCTTATGTCCCACATAACTGCTAACTAGTACTATTTCTGAATGCAGCTCATATTCTGTGATTGCGGATGTGCATGGTGGTTTTGAAGGCAGATGTCAGTCTTCAGCTCCTCTCAGAGACCTCCTAACATGGTTTAGTCATGAGACATGGGTGACATGTTCATGGCTGACCAGTTGGCTCTCTGCTTATATATAACCCATTAACATCTTCTGTCATTTCAACTTACTGCAACTTGCAAACGAGTCTGTCACTCCTCACTGCAAAGTCTGCACCTATGAATCTCCCTGAAAATTCTGTAGTTTCTATTGGTCAAAGGGAGACAGAATTTGGTTCAAACTGTAGCAATAATAGGCCTACAATTCAAGAAGTAGTAACTAAATTGAGGGTTTTTTCAAATGCCTTCAGTTTTCAGGGCCAGATACCTTACAGAAATATAAAATACATCTGTGGGAGTAATGTGTTGTATCAACTACCTCTTACCTGCCAGACAGGGTCTTTCTGGTCAGGAAACAGCTCAAAGTACTTGTGAGCTAGTTGCACTGGAGGCAGAGTCTGAAGACGCAGGTTGGTCCAGGTCTGTACAAAGTTAGCCAGATTGACAAATGTGTATAATCCCAGCCGGTCATTCCCATAGTTGGACAAATGGGTCATGAAAATACTGATCTGAAAAACAGGAACTTCGGAGTAAACACCTGTTATTTTACCACTAGAGGGCAGTATAGTCATAGCAACGCTGGATTTTGGAACCTATCCCAGTCATTACATTAATGCACACTAGATAGTAGGTTATCAGCAGGACTTGATAAGCACCTTCCCTGAAATTTTAATATACGTCATAACTAAAAATGAGACAAAAAACTGATAGCTGCCACATATCCATCCTAGTACAATTAGACTAATGCTGAATGACACATCGTAGATGTCAAATTTCAGTGACATCATGGTATGTGGACTACCAATCATTTGGAGCTGCAGGATTCAGGAAGTTTAGAGTTTGCAATTTTAATCATGTTCACTTCAGCTTATAATGTATTTGTAGCATTGGAAGTTACAGAGTATAATCAACTAATTGCTATCTGAGCATGAACAAATGGCCTTTGATTTGCTTTTCTTATATACTATAACACAGTAACACACTGGTTTCTGAATATTATTTTCTATTAATAATAATTTCAAACCATTTTCCATATCTAATGGGTCTATTACTCCCAACATGTTACCTCCTTTAAGGAAAGTTTTAGTATTTACTAGATAAAAGTGACTCTTGCTTTAAAAGTAATTGACCTAGATTGAATCTATGCATTGCATAAAAACACTCCCCTCTCCACAAAAAAGCAAATATGAGGAACTTTTTATAATGAAATAAATTTGATTTCTGTAAGTTTAGTTAAATTGGTCTAGGATGTAAAATGGGTGTTTGTAAGTTACTGTCTTAGTGGAATGCAAATAATTATTGTTATCTATTTGCTGACAAATGGAAAGAATATTTGTGTGCTATTTCCAAATAGTCAAGAAAACCAATGTGGCATCATTTATGCCGCTATAATTCATATGACAGCAACAGTACTTTCCCAAAATATGTAATTTCTTTGAAGCAAATGGCAATCATTGCTATTAAAATAATTATATGAATATACTCAGTCATGAAGTAGATGAAATTTTTTGAGGTAATATAGCAGAAATAAAAAAGTTATATATATTAAGATTTGCTATAGTACAAAAAGTAAAAGAAATACAACTATGAATAAGAGGAAACAGAATTATCCTGTACTGTATGGAACAAACTCTACAGGCTTTCACAAATAAGCTTCAACTTCAGTCAAGAAACTTAACTGTATTTCTTAACATACATAAAATCTTAGAACTTTCACAGACAAAAAAACCTGAAGGGGTCCGGTGAGTGTGTGGAGAGCTTCCTGCTACCCTGCACCAGGGGACCAGTCCCAGCCCAGGCGCAGCATGGGCCGGACCCTCTCCCACCCCCTCGGGCTGCCCCCCACCACTCCACCGTATCTCCCCCACCCCGCCCCCCGAGTAGGAATTTATACCGAATTCCAGGAACACCTAGACCCACTCCTAGCCCAGGTCTGCAGCAGGAAGGAGATGAGCACAGCAGCCAGACCTAAGCCAGACGCAGCTGGATAACTCCAAACTCTGTAGAGCTGCACCTGAACTTCAGTACGTG